GGGAAGCTGACGGCGCACCCCAGGCTAAAAAAGCGAACCATCTTGATCCTGCAGAACTCTGAGACCTGACGAAACAGGTACGGCTGTTTTCCCAGAGAGCTGGGAAAACGGTTCCAGGGTGGCTGCTGCAGCTGTGGGATACAAGGCTGAAGGGACTGAATTATCTCTGGAAGAGATAGCTTGGCTGGCCTCCATAACGGTGATACCGTCCCTCAGGCAGCGTCTCCATAATGTGGCGTGAACAGCGCAGGGCGCAGGCAATCATTCCCTGATTAACTGGCTCATGTCCACTGCATGGAGAGTGTGGGCCGACCCAGGGGAGCTGCCAGAGACTGTGAGCAGATGGACCACATACTTATATCTGGTCCAGGTAATTCAGCAAATGGGCATGCGACAGATGATGTTTCGTGCCCAGTACACTAGCCTGGATGAGGAGGTCCTTCATACAACCCATACGAAGGACTTGATCTTGACCTCTGGCCCAGCACGTACTTCTGGCACCATGGAGGCACTGCTGGCCCTCTATGTGGCCACGAGGTGATAGGCGGATCCACGAGGTGACCTCCACTATGGCTAGCTTGGGGGACGTGAAAGTAAAACACGAACAGCGTTCCACCCAAGTGCATGCTCTACTGCCCACCGCACGCCAGTGCATGGACAGGGGCGTGGCTAAAAAGCCGGAGTGGAGCAGCGCCCAGCCCATTGGGCTGTGAGTGAGCCACAGGTAAATGCAGTTTGATCTCCTCGCGGCAGAGGTCACTGCAGGAAAGATTGAGCAGCAACCTAATGAAGTGCTGCTGGCGCTATGGAATCAGCTATGCCCTAATCAGCAATTGTCTCTTATTCTCGAGAAAGCCACACCCATGAGGCGCGGCTAGCCAATTATCTTCCTAATTAGGGATTCCACTGGGACACCTGGTTGGCGGGGGAGCTAGCTGACCTGAAACCTCGGGAGCTGAATAAGGTTACCCCGCCCCTGCATGCTGCCATGCCGAACGTCATGTCCTTCATGGGTCGGTTGTCACATGAACTTGGACAATACCATTATGTGGTGGACTTGGCAAATGCCTTTTTCTCTAACCCTACCCTGTGCCGTGGTCTTGTGGCTCAAGATTTAGCCATATGGAAATAACCGCCCGTAGTGCACTTGTATCACTACATTGATGATATAATGCTAACCTCTGATTCTTTTACAGAACTAGAAGCAGTGGCGGCCAGCCTGTGAGAAGCTCTCGCCGACTGGGTTTGGGCAGTCAGCAAGGTCAAGGTCCAGGGACCTGGGTTCTCTGTCAAATTCTTGGGAATTGTTTGGTCAGGGAAGACAAAAGTAATGCTGGAGGTGGTGACCAATAAGATATAGGCATATCTCCAACTGACACTGTGAAGCAGCTCCAAACCTATTTGGGACTGCTGAGGTTTCAGAGGGTGTTCATCCCTGATTCGGCCTCCTTGATGTGACCTCTGTACCGTCTAGTGAGATGGGGTGCCCAGTGGTATTGGACTCCTGAGATAGAAGAGGCCTTTAAGACTACAAAGCAAGCTGTAGCACAAGCTCAAACCACGTGTTGTAG